AAACCTTCCTCAGAGGAGATGGGACTAGTCTTGATGCTGCCCAAGCAAAGGCTCGAGTCAGCTGCTGACAAAGGCAAACACAACTCTGGTGAGCCAGGTGTCATCATACAGGTTTAAATCAAAGACTAGCCAAGGGGATAATGAGCTATGGAAACTCCTGCTCTTTGCTGATGCAGGCTGTGGTTTCACAGTGGATTAAAGCAGAGGCAGTGCAATCCCATCTCCCTCTTCCACACCTGCACTACAGCCAATTTGGACCCAGAGTAAGACGACTCAGGTCACTTATGCAACAGAGAACTGAACTAAAAACCCCCAATGTTTTCCATCAATTAAGCAAAGAGAATGGCTCTTTACAAATACAAATAAGCACCACTGCTTGCTGAAGGAAGAGCCAGGGAAAAACCCAGGGAGACTGAGCACACCTGCAAACATGAGAGCAACATCAGATGGCAATGAGTGGCATCCCTCTTCCCGCTCAAGCAATCCTGGTCCATGCACATTCATGCTATTTTTCTCCATCAGCTAGTAAATTTGACTCTAACTTGAGAGAGGGTTGCTTTCTAGTCTAAGGAATCTTATAAAGGATTAAATACCTTGTGTTCACAACTCTTCATGCCACTGGGTGTCACAAGAGTCAGTTTTCTGGAGGAGGAAACAAACACAATTTGCTGGCAAAAAATTGAAGTCTTGGCTTGGGTATGCTAATCTGCACTGCATACTATGCTGCTAGAGGCTCAGAGAGAAAACTTCATTCCAGAGGCTTGTGGCCCAATGAATGTATCAGCTAAGCCACAATGACAGGTAGAAGACAGCCATGAAGTGCCTCTGCAGTGCCAGGAAGCTCAGCCATGGCTGGCAGGTTCTAAAAAGAACCAGGAGAAAAACACTATCCCCAAAAAGTGGAAGCACACACTACTTGGAAGATGACTCAGTTCTGCCAAGCAGTTAGCTGGATTTTGATTTAGTGATATGGTGGCTCTATTTATTCATCAGCTTTATAGTGAAGTACCTAGGAGTTACCTTATTTAACATTGCAGCACAGGATTTTCATAGAAGATGATGACGTGGGTAAGATCATTACTACAGAAAAGATGAGAATGCTAAGAAAATCTTAGTGAAGAGGAGCAAATACTGCAAGTAACTAAGGGGTTTGTCAGTCCCTTAAAAATTTATCTATATAGATATACTACAAAGGACTGGTTAAAATGTTTCATGGGGTTTTCTAAAATATGAGAACCACAATAAACAAAGTCCAGACTATTTTAAACAACTTTGCATAAGCATGTGATGATCCTTGTTTTAGTTTGGGCATGAGAGCTTTACTGTTCCAACAGATCCTGAACTACAGGATGTCTTGCATTGTTTCCAAGTAGTTTGGGTTACAGCAAAACAACAGAACAGAACAAATTGTTACTAGCAAGAACTGGCTGGAACAAGCTGTGACAATTTAAAAATTTCCCATCTGAAAAAGCAAAAATTCACTGATCATAAAATGAAAAGCAATGTCCCTACCATTACTACCCTGGTAGCTTTTTTTTCCTAGAATAAAACATGAATACTGCTATGGATATGCTTCACAAAACTTGATCTCATGACCCAGTAAGGCTACTGTTTTGCAGAACTCAAAATAGCAGGCTTTGCTTCTATGCCAGGGGAAAAAAATGGGAAAGTTATGTACTTTTTTTTCTTCAGAAACTAGAAAATGACAGATATAGTTCTTTGATCTTACTCCCAATAATGTGTGCTGAACCAAAATACTTATTTGGTAGACCTGGACATTGATTTAATGCAAAACAGGACAGAGAAGGTAAAAAAGAATGCTGCATATAATTCCATGTCATTAAAATTACTGTGATCTATCTGCATGTACTGGCTCTATCTGAAATCCCCATCTACCCTTATCCTCAGACTGTCATCAGCTTTACAGTGAAAATACACAGCCAAACATCGTGCATAACACAGTAGCTCATATTGCTCTTAAGATGTACCTGAAATCCTACAGAAGTTCACTACTGCCTGCCTCACCAGGATTATTGTGTGTAAAGAGAGGGTCTCGTGAGTGGAGATTGGCCACAGTGACCACGAAGTGAACGAATCTAAAATCCGTGCTGACAGGAGGAAAAGTGCCAGGAAAACTTCAGCTCTAGGCACAAAGAGAGCAGACTTCAGGCTGCTCAGAAAGCTAATTAGTAAAATGGGAAAATGCCTTCAAATACCTAAAGAATGTGGTCATTGATCACAGCCAGCACAGCTCTGTGAAGGGAAAGTCCTGCTTATCAAACCTGATTTGCTGATTTTGCTAACTCACCCAGCTGATCAGGGGAAGCCAGTTGATCTAATCCTTTTGGATTTCAGTAAAGCTTTCCATACTGTCTCTTACAGGATCCTTCTGGACAAAATGTCCAGCACACAGCTGGATAAACACATCATGGGATGGGTGAGCAACTGGCTCCTCATTGAGCTACTTCTGTTTATAACACATACCATTACTGTCTTTGGGACTCCATCTGCATGGAGGGAGGGAGGTTACTCATCAGAAATCCAGATGATTTTCAGAGTTAATAAACACTGATTTACCTAAGCTGACTGCATGTACTTGGCATTAGCATCCTTACACTACAGCAGAGATAAAGAGCACTGGTAATGTGATGTGGACAGTTACAAGGTGCAGAGCCAGGACAGGTAGCACTGATGTGGGTCTGGTATGCAAATAAAACTCAATCCTGTTCCTGTTTAACTACTTGTGCATTCACACTGTAACTGCATCTGCCAGTCTTCAGCACAGGCACAACAAACCACAAACACATGGAGCAATCCCAAGTCTGGTCTCACTCTTTCTAAGCTCTACCCAAACTAGGAGCACCAGGATTGTACCACACATACTCCAGCTCCTTTGAAGTGCCAGGTTTGGAACAGCAGGTGATACTAGCTACAGCTCAGCACCAGCCACAGCTGTACAGCCTGGCTGCAGGTGATACTTGCTCCAGGGTGTGAAGAATGTGTTATATGTAATACATGGGGGTTTCCCATTCGGTCAGGTAACCCACCTGCATTGCTGCCTTATCTTCAGAAGCAAAAAGCTTTGACTAAAAAAGAAAAATCCCCATTATTAATATGAAAAGAGAACCACAAATTTTCTCTACAAGGAAAAATACTAGCAAAAATGTCATAAAAAAAAGGCAACATTCACCATTGCCTTTATAAAAAAATAGGCAACGTTCACAGTTAATATATAATAAACTGTAGACAGCTTATTTCATAATCTCTGAACACAAGATGGGATGCTCTGCATTGCAAAACAGGTAAGGTATGAACAAACATCCACTGCTCTCAGAACCACCACCTATACAATACAAATATTGTATTCCCATAACAATCCCATACAAACTCCAAAACTTAGAATTAAAGGACTTGCTGGGAATTTTGGGACTGATACAATGGAAATGTGCTCTAGTCATATGGATCCCTGATTGCCATCTTCCCTTTAATTTTTGTTCAAGAAGCCATTAGTGATGTTTTCCATACATTATCAAAGCTGATCAAGAACAAACTATCGATGGATGATATTTTGTGGCAGACTAAATAATGACCTAAGCCTACTCAAATTCCAGGTTGTTATACAACTGAAGTATTAGGAAGAAAGGCCCTAGGGGTTTTCAGAAACTGAGCTATCACTGGCACTAGTGACACAGACCTTTCTAAATGTGCCATTAGCTGCACAAATTTGCTGATTGTTGCACGAACCCACACAGAATTCTCAGATAACCAACCCCAAACCAGAAGCAGAGGTCCTTATCTTATCTACACTGCATTAACTGACATGAGGGAAGCTGAAACGTGGAGGCATGAACAGAAATTCGAGAAGCTTTGTGAACTCCACAATTCACTATACATCTCATTCTCCTCAACTCAGTTATCACCTAAGGTTAGCATTATCCTTTATTGAAGCCACCAAACACTGAACTGCAGCTTCTTTACTACAATGAACTTGAAAAACACATATTCAAGGGGCTTTAACTGTAAAGCATGAAGAAAAAAAATAACCCAATCTCAGTTTCTGACAACTTATGAGGCCTTTCCCAAATGTCTTGAAAAAAATCAAAGAGAATTTTGGAATAATTAAAGCCAATATGAGAAGTGCACAGCAGAGAATGAAGGTAAGGAGTTATGCTGCATTAACTTGGCATTCTTTCAAGGAGACTTGTGTGCAACAAACTAAAACTGCCTGGTAATCTCTCCTTTCTCCTCAGTGCCTTCTCCCTCACAACTTCATCTCCCTGTTTACTGCTGAGGCTGAAACCTCTTTAATTGAAGCAAAACAAAAAGGTTTTTTTTTCCACCTTCAAGTTTTTGCAGTCTCATCTCCAAACCCAAAACCTCTGAAGGAGCAAGAGTTGCTTCCCAGAGACCTTCCTGTTCAAGGACTTTGTCTATTGGCCCTGTCTAGCCCCAACACTGCTCAAAGCCTCCAAACCTGGTAGGTGACTAAGCAAAAATCCCAAAGTACACTACACACAGAGTATTTTCCCTAAATAAATGTCAGCTTCAGAGCTGTTTAATGATAGAAGACATCTCTTAAATCCACTACATGCACTGCAAATAAATCAGTCCAAAGGACTGGACTTGGACTCACAGCTCAAGCTTTTGCCTTCTGCTTTTGCCCTATATCCTCATATAAACCTGAGCAAATAAGGTCTTCCTAACTTCCCCACAATTAAACCAGTAACATTGTAAGGCTTTCAACATCAGGCCATGCAGAGAACAAACATGAATGTAGGAATTATCTCAAGACACACACACACCACAAAAGCTGATATTAACTTTACACAAAGAGCCAAATAGCTCAGATGGAAAATATAGCTCAGAGCATAAAATTTCTCTTAAACTACAATTAAAAGGCAGGCAATTACCACAGAAACACTAAAAGTCATCAAGCATTTTGATGACAATTTCATAGAATTGGAAGTTTAAAAAATAACATTGAAAGGAGACACCAAGAATTTCAAAAACCTCTGTTTTATTTGTACAGAGTAAAATACATCATATAGTGAACACTGTTTCCCACCCATAATCTAAAACCATTATTAAGTGTTTTCTTTTCACCAAACATCCTGGCCAGAAGCACAGACAATGGAAATGGGAATGCTAATTAGTCTCTCTCTGCCAGAGCTACAAGGTGCACATCAATCTCTGCTTCTGTAAGGATCCTGAAAGAACAAAAAGAAATCTTAAATAGCTTAAATGATTCTTCCCCTTAAGCTCCAATATTACCTAATATCTATACAAATAAGTTTTACAGCAATGCATCTTTCTGCCCTTTAAAGCCTTGCTGCCAGTGCCACAGGCTGACATTCCAATTCTCTTGAAAAATAAAGGAAGAATCAAAGGCACTAGAGAGCAAGGAGGTAACAAATGATAGAAAAATAACAGGTAATTCTTCATGAGTAATGCATTTGCAAGTTGAGACCTAGTGAGAAGGTAGCTTGATCCCTTGAGTGGCAGGAGAAAAGGGCTCATGCAGCTCCTGTGTGCTTTCTCACAAACACTGTGCTGCTCTGTTGTCCTCAGCACACACCACCAAATACAAAACCACCCACCATCACCATGTCCACCTTAAAAACATTAGGAAGGAAGCACTTAAAAGACTGAACCTGAAGGGCCCAAAGGTTTGGGCTCAGTTCCCACTTCCCAAGTAGTTATACTAAAGTAACAGCAGACTTTGTTCCAAATTTTACTTTGTTCCTCTCTTCTTTTTTAATAAAAAACTCAAAAACCCCCTCAATTAAAGACTAAAGCAGAAATAACTGAATCCCTCTGCAGCAAGCCAGACTTACCTAAATTTTAGGTAATTGCTAAATACCTGGAGGGCTGTTTTGCATTATAAAAGCTCCCCCAAAGTTTTTCTCCCACATTTCATGCAAACTCCTGTAGCTATACAGTGTGCTGTGAGCAGGCTGCCAAGTACACTGTATCCCACATGAAGCTTTCCTGCCCTCAGCAGGAAGACTCCCAGGCACTGCCCAGGTGATCCTGGTGCACCCAGTGTGCTGCAGGCAGTAATGGAGGAGGGAAGAAATAGCAGGTGCCTTGCTCTCATGCTAGATGGGACTGCAGAGTACTTGGAAAGGAGATAGTTCAGCCATTTTCAAATCACTAGTGATTTTTTAAGTCCATGATCTTTTAATCTTACCAAATTTAAATACAGTTTTTTAAACTGCACAAGTCCATAATCTGTTAATTACGTATTTTAGAAGTTAAGAAATGCTAACAGTTAAAAGATGAGCAAGAATAATTTAAAGATTCATTTTAGAAAAAGAATAAAGAATTAAGGGACTTGTAAATATTCCATAATATAAACCAGACTTTACTGCATTAGTTAGTATGACTATGATTTGGAAGTGGACTCCAGATGCCATTACTATGAAAAATTTTTATACTTCTATGCATGAAAACACATCTAGACCAGATGTAACTACATTTCAATCATCACAGAAAGCCATACCCTTTTAAGACATGAAAGAGATCACTTTTCTCTGCTAAATCCCTTAACCATGTCACACATTTTAAAACTGCATTATTCTTTTTACACAACGTTTTCTACCTCTACACATTTTGAAGAGTTACAAGTAAAAAGCCCTTCAAAGCTTCAATCCCTTAAATTTATCTCTTTTTCTCAATTTACAATTACACAATAAGGTAAAACTAATTGCACATAATCACAGAAACACACCAAGTTTTATCAACACTGATTGCTTACCTGAACTTAGGATTTTCCACTGTGACTACACCAACTTCTATTTCAGAAGGTTTGAAATCAATCGATAGTACAGTAGACAGGCATGTTATTGCTGTCTGAAAGATGAAAAAACCCCTATCATTAGAAAGAAAGCACTAATTCTTTTTTTTTCTCTCTTAATAGACATAGCATTAACAACTATCCTTCCTTCTGGTTTAAAGTTACTTCCTCTCACTTCAAAATCTCAGCTTAGAAATTCCAAATAGTTTCCCCTTGCTACAGAATACAGCCCCTCTCCAGTCCTCTCTCTAAAAAGCCTAATCTACAAAAAGCAAAGGGACATGTTTTCATGGCAGAAAAAGACACAACAAAACCAAAACCTTTTATCATGCAAAGATACTGTTTGAAATATCTTCTAATATGTTAAGTCATACTGGTATCCCCAAAATCAAGTACTGTAGTAACCAAACAGCAGCTACAGCGGGAGTGCTACAATCATAGAATCTGCTTCAGCTAACATAAAGCAAAAAAAGCAGATTAGATGACCATTCAAATACTTGCAGAATAGCTTCAAAGGATTTTCTGGTTGGAATAGCTGTATTTGCTCTGGCAGCAATACAGAACTGTAGTGAATGAGGAAATGCCTAAAACATTTCTCTGCATTGCAAGCCTACATGCAGCATATTCATCAAAAATACTTTAAACAAATTTTAATTTCCTTCTGCTGGCCTACCTCTACTGTTTGTTCATATGTCCAGTCAAATTTCTTCTTTACTTTCTTTTCAAGAAAACTGGTTGACTCTGTCTGTTTAACTCCTGCAGCGGTGGCCTTGAATCCACAGTAGTAACCTGCTGGGTCACACTTGTATACCTGAGGGCCATGTTCTTCATCAATACCAATCAAAATCATACCTTAAAGAGAAAATTTGTTAATTTATTTATTTTCCCCATTTTAGCAATTTAATTCAACTGAAGAGCAGAATGGATAGTCCTCTCTGTGAAAAAACATGCATGCACAGCAGTACACCTTTGGGAATCAGTCCCATACCTGGAGCTGTGATTTCCTTTTTATCTCTAATTTGCCATTTCTTACCAGCATCTCATTACCAGGTGTACAACCCAGTTCAGCAGAAACTGTATTTCTGTCATTCCCAAAGAAGGCATTCTCACTGAACATACGAACATTTTTGCCATGCTCAGTGTGTAGAGAATCATAAAGTCAGGAAATAAAGTTTTATCCTGATAGAAAGTTTACCAAGCCACAGCTCACATCCTGTGTTATATGACACAAATGTCTAAACAATATTTCAATTACCATTGAAATATTTCAGACACAAATGTCTAAACAATATTTCAATTACCATTGCCTTTTACTAGAAAGCAACTTTACAAACATACTGAAATGAATGGAAATATTAAAAGATCAAATTTAGATTTCTTGTTTGTAACCCTGAAAAACAGTGCATTACATACCTTTTTCTCTTTAAATTTAAAAAAAAATCTGAAATGAGAAGTGGAAATATCAGGACATAACTGAGTCCCTGAAGATCATCTAAGTGTTGTGAAGCTGAACAGTTTTCAAGTAACACAAACTGACCACATCACTGAAATTCATGTGTTCACCCTCACTTCTTGATTTACAGCTGCATTATCTCAACATGCATATTAAAAAAAAGTCAAAACCAATACTTGCAATAAAAACCCAAAACAGAACAAGGTCATGTTTTTCAATTATTTTCACTTTACACTTGTGTAACTTTTAACTAGTAGTTAGAGATGATAAACTTCTGAGCAGCTATTACTAAAACAGAAAAAAAAATCCCCTCATATTTTCAAAAAAGCTAAGGGAAGTAAAGAAAAATGCATTTTTATTCATGTATTTTAAAAAAGGAATTTCCAGCAGTATCAAGGCATGGGAAATGCCAAGGGAAGAAAGAAACAATCTTTCCTGAAAATTACAAGCACACAAGGATAGGAGAATTGCCCCATCATGGAAACTGTGGTGCAACTCTCAATGTTGCTTCTTTAGTGAGAAGTCTTAGTGCCTACTGTCCTACTGTGATTACGAGAAGTGATTCATCAATTCTGAAACTATTCTCCTTAAAAAAAAAAACAAACACAAAAACAAAAACAAAACCCAAAACCCAACCAATCAAAAAGAAACTCAGAATGTTTAATGAAAAAGTAATTGAGGAAACCTGTTAAGTGTTTTACCTCAGTTCCTGAACAGCCTGACAGCATGTTTAGAATTTGCTTATGGCCAAACGTAAGAGGAAACACAAGTCAGAACCAACCCCAGAACACACAGATGACCGGGAACATCTACAAAAAATGACTCAACACACAACTTCTTTTTAAGCTGCATTTGCTGTTATAAAAGAAGACACGTAGAAATATTTGCAAGGGAAATATTTTAGACACTTTTTCCTCTACATTACATATACGATAGCTAAGTTAGGAGAAAAAAAATTGTAAATCTGTCCTATACCTACTACTTAGATAAAAAAGCCAAAAAACCTGCACAAAGATAACTGCACTCTCCATCTCTCTCTTTTACAGTGCTGTTTACCCAGACACAGAGCACTGGGCTTGCATGGCAAGGTTTTGGTAGTGAGAGGGCTAAAGGGCTGGCTGCTGTGAGAAGCTGCCAGAAGCTTCCCGTGTCCAAAGGAGCCAAAGCCAGCTGGCTCCAAGACCAACCTGCTGCTGGCTGAGGCCAAGCCCATCCACAGTGGTGGTAGTGCCTCTGGGATAACATATTTAAGAAAGAAAAAAAAAAGAAGGAAATTGCAGACAGAGAAGAGAGGAGTGAGAATATGTGAGAGGAACAACTTTGCAGGCACTGAGGCAAATGACGGAGGGAAGGAGCTGCCGGAGCTGAGACTCCCCTGCAGCCTGTGGTGTGAGGCAGCTGTGGCCCTGCAGCCCCTGGAGGAGCCCACACTGGAGCATGTGGATGCCTGGAGGAGGCTGTGGCCCCACGTGGAGCCTGTCCTGGGACAGGCTTCTGGCAGGACCAGTGGTGCTGTGGAGAAAGGAGCCCACACTGGAGCAGCCTGTTCCTGCAGGACTGCACCCCACATAAGGTGGGCTTCTTGCTGGAGCAGTTTGTGAAGAACTGAGGCCTGGGAGAAGGACTCACTTTGGAGAAGTTCCTGGAGCACTGTCTCCTGTGGGAGACACACTGGAGCATGGGAGGAGTGTGAGGAGTCCTCCCCCTGAGGAAGATGTAGCAGCAGAAAAACAACGTACTATGTACTGACCCCATTCCTATCTCCCTGTGCCACTATGGGAGAGGTAGAGAACCAGGAATAAAGTTAAATCTGTGAAGGAGGTAGGGGGCAAGTGTTTTGAAGATTTGGTTTTGTTTGTTAATAATTCAGTTAATTTCCCCAAGGTGGATCTGTTTTGCCCATGGAGGTAATTGGTGAGTGATCCCTCCGTGCCCTTATCTTGACCCAAAGGCTTTCCATGGTATTTTTTCTCTTCTATGTCTAGCTGAGGAAAGGAGTGATGGAGAGACTTCTGCAGACACTTGGCATCCATCCAGGGTCAAACCACCACAAAAAGATACAGTTACAAAGAGCATCTCCTGCTCACAGATACCACTGCACAGTGCAAACACATCAGGACCCCCAAAATCTAAGGTGAAATAGTATCAGAGAGGCTACATTATTTCAAATGCTGAGTTAGTGGTAAAATCAGGGCTCCAGTTCAAGACCTACAACACTGCTCTCTCATTCAGCTGTTCATCCCCCTTACACCCTCAGTTACCCATTTTGAAAATGGGTGAGAATTTCTTACATATGAATTTGCAAACTTAGAGAAGAAACAGTAAAGATCATTTTCATACACTGTACTTACAGCAACCAAGGGGCCTCATTTCAGCATTCTGTGTATAGACCTGAGAAATATCTGCAATCCTTTTACACAGCATATCCACAGGGATGTCATATCCATACTTGTACTTCCAGTTAGCAGCCTCATAGCGGGCTCTCTGCACCTGGGATCTGCTGTCAGCTAGACAAAGAGAACTAATATTAATTCCACTGAATATATACCATCTTTATTTCTAGCACTGCCTAAGAATATAAATTCTAGGTCCAACTTTACATTGTCTTTAAATATACCCATGAGAACTAGGTAAGTTCTCCAAAACCAGATGGGTGAATTAAATACCTGTCATTCCTGTCATCACACAACCAATATTTTCAGTAATCTTGAATAAATGAGTCACTGTGTTGGAATCCAGTAACTTGTCCTAAAGAGGAAACAGAAATAATGTAATAGCAAACATTGTCCTCAAAATAAAAAGAAAACAAACAAACAAAAAAGCCCCCAAACTCTGAATCCTCTGTTTTTTACAGAAGAGCCCAAAAGGATCCATAACAGCTACAAATTGTCTTTCAGGCTTTCAATTTTTACTGCTGTAGGCATGCAAAGGAAGAAATCGGAGAACAGGGAAGAATAAAACCACAGATCTGGAGAAGGAGAACAAGAAGAACATGATCAACATCACAGTCCTTTTCCCTCTGAAGAAACTGAGAACCCACATACAAAAGCTTGCTCTCTTATTGCATGCTGCCCTTCAAACATAAAAGAATTTCCCCCCTTTTTCAACAGTACATCACCACTGAGCTGAAACACTCTCAAAAACCTATGAAAAGCATGCTCTATGTGCTATTGGTATAATATTTTCTCAGCAGAAATTCAAGGAATCAGGGAACTGGTTATGGACAACTCAGCCCTTTGCAAGCCATGAATATTGAGCAATGAATGCATGCTCAATACAGCAGGGTCAACTTATATTTTAGATTTATCCCTTCAACAGCTACAGAGAAAACCAATATAGCACTACTTAGTGAGAAAATGTACAGTTGAGCACTACATGGAACTAGAACTTGTAATAAGCAGAATGATACTTATACATTCAGTTCAAATAGCAATTTATGTCAGTGCTAATAAGAATAATATCAATATTGCTGAGTCTCACCCCATCTTTTTTACTCCTCTCCTTCCAGAGCTCCCCTCAAAACCAGACTACTTACAGGTACTTTCTTCTGTGTTACAATTACTGCAGAATCTTTCCCACGAACAGCTACAGATGTAAGTCCACCTTGGTTTATGGCCTTAAATGCATATTCTAGAAAAAGATACAAATGTTAATAAAAAACTAGTGTCAGAGACACTAGTACAAGTAACAATTCCCCCCAACACATGATCCCACTAATTTATGACCTTTTAATACTTTAATACTTGTGCAACACTTTGTGTCCTTAAGATCTTTAGTACAATGTGCATTGACTCTCTTCACAAAACCAGTCACTGCTTCCTTCAAATGTTTCTTCTAATTTGACTTTTTGTTCAGTTCAAGCTGAACAGCAACTGAATAAGTTTTAGAACAAAAATGCTGTTTTGAACTTGACCAAAATTGTCCAACCTGAATCTACAGTAACCATAAATTCTTACAGAAGAATTCTTGACATGAATTTTAGTATTTTAAAGGATTCAAGCTTCTTTTCTAATTTTTACTGATATAGATGAAAAGTGGTAAGATGACACAGGAGACAGGTTTTAACTATCATATCTTCTGACTTGACATTCAAACACTGCAATGCTTTTTTACTTTTTATAGTGAAAGCTACACAGATGCCAATTAAACAGTGTTGTTCGTGTAAGTACAATGGATTAAGAAGCAAACACTAAAGTAACAGTCATGGAAATATCCAAGAAAGAAATTTCTCCTGATTGATGGTTTCAAAAGCCTTAGGCACAAGAACTTTAAAAACCTGGCAACATTTGATAAACATTCAGAAATTCCTAATATCTGGCTGAGTGGTAAGTTTCAGAGAGCAGCTAAATGTAGGTGAGTTTTTTTGTTAGCCATGCACGTAAACCCAGAATTTAGAATATGTCTACAAATAGCATAGCAAATTGCTAAAACTATCTTAAAATGGGAGCAAGAAACTTGGCTATTTTAAAAGCTGCACTCAGATCTATAGAAGAAATTGCACAACAGAGGAGTAATAATCTGAAGAAGAAAAAAATTCAAACCTTGCATATTAATGTTCAATCTGCAGAGTCATTGTTAAGGAAGGGCTCACTGTGGTGTATTTATGGCACTGCATTTACTACTCTCAGACATCAGAGCATTTACTATTTCCTTATTTACTGTTTATGTATTTATTTTAGCATTTGCTATTTACCTATTTACTGGTTACCCAAATGTGCCATAAAGGATGTTCCCCCTTTCCCTCTGCACAACTGTGCCCACCTGGGATGATCAGTGCCAGCCTGCAGCAGAGCCCAAACCCCAGTAAGAAAGGAGCCAGTGCTGCCTGCAAACTGGCCATGCCCGAAGCCCCGAGCACAGGATTTGCACCACTTGTCTATTTATCTGTACAACCCCCTGAAGGCAGGGGGTAAAGCAGATGGACAGAGCCAGCCTTTTTGCACTGATGCTCAATGACAGGACCAAATCAGAGGTGACTGGAACAAACTGAAACAGGAGGGTCCAGTACCTGAAAACATGTTTTCCTGTGATGGTGACTGAGCACTGGAACCGGTTGCCTGTAAAACCCATCTGGAAACACTCCTGGGCATCCAGCTCTAGGTGGGCCTCCTTGGGCATGGGCTTGGGGCCAGACAATCTCCAGAGGGCCCACCTAATCTCAGCCACTCTGTGCTTCTGTGACACTTAGGTGGCAGTAGGAATCAATGCCTATCACAAACTGGGTTTTGCTCACAACTCCCAACAACCAGGCTTGAGAAACTGCAGCCCCTGATTACCACCTCGATTGCCCAGTTTTCAAGGAAACAAGCCAAAAGGTGAAGTGGCTCTTACAATGTAGCAAATCCGAGTTGCTAGTGCTGTTTTAAGTCTGTTTACTGCTATGTAAGTATTTCAGCAGCACTGCAAGACATTCTCTCTGAAAAGAGCAGTCCCTTTCTGTTCCCTGAATACATGGCAACAGCCAGAAATTTTACTGTAGTAATTTTTCTTTTCTCCCAAAACTCCACTGAGAAGAAACACCACCTTTGAAGACTGAAATTAATAGGTAGCAAGAGGACACTGATGCTCTGAGAAATTTTAACCACAGTAATGTGAAATAACTGTTAAGTTTTCTAATATGAGATCAAAGGCACATGAGTTTTCTGAGCTTTGGAAGCAGAAGACAGACCTAAGACGAAGTATAGGCATTTCAGTCCAGTATCACTATGCTGGAAGTCTCTGTTCCCATACTGCCAAATTCCAGAAAAAACTCAAGTTTTAAGGCAATCTTAGAGCAACACATGTCCATGCTCATCCTTGACAGCCCCTAGCTAACCTTAATCCAGCAAAGAGACAAAGACAAAACAAAACCACCTAGATGTGGACATTTGATTGCAAACAAGCATGAGATTTCTGCCCATGCTGTGGTTAGATGCTGGCAAACAGAGACACCCATGGGGCACCATGCCCAAGTTACCAGCCTGGCTGTGAGTAAAGTGAGCTCATTCTTGCTTGAAGTTAACATCTACATATTTTTCTTCCTATAGCACATAGATACTTAAAATAGCTTTAAGACAGCTTCAGGCTGTCTTAAAGTGCAGAAGCTCTCAAATACACAGATACTTGTTTCTAAGACACTGTTAAAAGGTATGGAGGTACCACACATTTCTCATATATTAACCTACTGGCTAAATACACCCCAGAGGCAGAAAACCAAGGCTCAGTTTCCTCTCTGCTACAGAATGCAGAAACCATTCCCAACAAGCAGCACTGTGACAGAGACAGTGGGAAGTGATGCAGACCAACCAGCCTGTTTTAGTGGCAGCTGAAGGTGGGAGCCCAGGACTCCTCTGCCACAGTACCACTGAAACCCTGTGTGAGGAAGCACTGTCCCTACCACCCCTACGTATAAGGACAATAAACATCACACGTGCTCCAGATATAAGACAGCATCCACATGTAGGTATCTAGTACAGGCACCTTCCTAATTCTTCCTTGCAGAAGGGACTGCTTAAGAGTGGGCCACCTGTCTATGAGGCCTAATCCACACAGGCTTCTTCCTGAGAAAAACTCAAGGGCAGTCACAAAAAAACTACATGGCTGCCACGGGCAGTTAATGAAATCTGACTCCAGCAAGCTCCTTTCCTAGAGAACAGGTGAATTTACAGGCATAACATGCAGTGGATGTGCAGTGAAGGCAGCATCAGGATGATGCTGCAGAACAGTTCATCTGTCCCTGTTGAGAGGCTCCTCCAGGGGCACTCCCAAACTACTGTCCTGGCACACTCTGAGCTGGCTGTATCCTGCACAAGGGGCACCAGGATGTGCTTCTGTACAAGCTGGTGCACTGCAAAAATAGGAATAACAGAATCAGTGGCTTACAGAAGCTGAAGCTTGGCTTCAGATTATTCCAAGAAACCTGAAAACAAAGGATGGTTGCTGCTATCTCACAGGCCACAGAACAAGCGGCATCAGGAGTAACAAGAAAGTGCATGAGTAACACCCAAGAAGTGACTTTGTCACTCCGGCATGCAGGGTTTGAGGCAGGTCAAATCCCATTTCAATCATTTATCATAGCTCTCAGATCCCAAAACGCAGCGCTCCGAGGCTTGGCAAGATTCACTCAAAGAAACACTTAAGGGAGACTAAACAGCCTCTGGAGAGCGGCAGCTTTGGTCTCCAAGCATCTGAAATGGAACACCGAGGGCTCAGAGGAGACCCCCCCGGTGCCAGGGGACACTCGAGAGAGCCGAGCCCACCCTGGCTCTAGGTTTTCCTGATTTCATGCGAGGATCCCTTCCCCTGGTCCCCACGGCGGGACGACCGGGACCGCCGCCGCTCCACGCTCCCACCAGGCTTTCCCCCACACACGGCGGCACCAGGCCAGGCGGGAGCCGGGACTCCCGAGCCACGAGAGGCGCCGCGCCTCGCCCCTCCGCACAGGCCGCCGGCCGCGGCCCCGCTCGGCGGGGAGCGCGGGCAGGCCGGGCCCGTGACGGGGCAGTTCGGCGGCGGCCCCGCAGCCGGACACGCACCGACTTGGTAGAGGCGGCCCTCGGGCGAGAAGATGGTGATGTGCCGGTCAAAGCCGGCGCTGGAGCCGCGGGACATTGCGGGAGCGGCGCGGGCCGGGGGGAGCTGTCCGCGTGCAGGGCCCCGCCGCAGCCGCAGGCACCGCCGGAGCGCTTCCGGGTCACGCGCGTACCCCGCGCAGGCGCGCGCCTCTCCCGCACCGTCACGGTCCGGTACCGGCGCTGCGCATGCGCGAGTCCCGCGGCCGCCGCGCCGAGACACGTCACGGAGGGCGCGAGCGGAAGGCGGGGCTCTGCCGCGGCGGCGGCTGTTGGTGCTGTTGCTACTGTGACAGTGGCTGTGACAGTGACAGTGAGGTGAGGTGAGGTGAGGCTCAACTCGTGGAAACCTGGAAGCCCGCCGGACGTGCCTGAGGGAATGGGCAGGAAACGGAATAAAAATATCATCCCGGCATCCATCAACGCTGGATCAAAGTATCACCAGCCAGCCGGGAAAACAAAACCCCTCTTAAAATTCTGAACGAAGTATTTCCGCCTGTGCTCTTGAATGAGAATAATTTTAAAGCAAGTACCTCAAAAAATCATGTTTAAGGTATTCGTAGGTAATTGTTGCCGCAGCTGCGTTATAATGCGATGTTTAAAAGACTTTTCATCGGTGTCCAGTCCAAAAGGAAATTCCCCAAATTGAAACTCGTGATTATAAGTTTTTTGCCTTTTAACATCTTGGAATTCCCCTGCTCTTTGTGGGAAGGCATTTTTTAAAAGCCGCTCATTAAAAGAGTTGGAAAAGCTGCATTCTGGTATCCACACCTCTACTTTGAAGTTATTATTAGGAGAGCTTATTCTTTGTTGAAATAGTAGAATAAAGGTGGATTTTGTGTATGCCACGCATTAAAAGTCTGTATTCTCAATTTTTTCAAAATACTTCTCCTTGCTCATTAATACTATGGGAGAATAATGTCCTATATGCATTACAAGACTCAGTTTGTCCCTTTTGTTAGGGACACAGAGAACATGAACACGTATGAGTGCGTCTGCTGGGTCAGAACGGAGCCAGTCCTATCCAATGTTCTCTCTCCAAATGCGGCCAAAAGGGGAATACCCAAGGATTTAAAGACTAGAGAGAGCCTTTCATGATACACTCCCTGAATCCTCTCCCAGTCTCCAGCCATCTGGAGGGACTTCCCAAGGCAGGGATAGTGTATGGTTATTTAGTAAGCCTTGCTGGTTCTCTTTCATGAACCTTCTGGTTTTCCCTCAAACCCACCTGTATGTCTTGAATCCACAACACGTCATGGCAAAGAGCTGGTCAGCAGAACAGCACGTTGTGTGGTTTTACCTGAAACCTCACCTTTTATCTGAACCTTCTATCTGCCAGTACCACTTGATGCTTTTGTACTGACACAGCCAACAATAGATCCCTAGGTGTTCCTTCCATAACATCTGTGATTCTTATGACCTCTGTAAGACCAGTTTCTCCAAGATGATGATCCATACCTTTACAGTTCTTCCATCTACAGAGCTCTTTGATTCTCTGGAATGTTTTTTTTTCTCCTGAGAAAAAGGGCATGAGAAAATCTAAGTAAATATCAAGTGTTCAGCCTAATTGCCAAATAGTAACCAAGAAAATCCTTATGTTTGGAATCAAAGATTCAGTATTTGAATTAGATAAAGGAAAAAGTGTAGTTGCTCAATACCATGGACATGATGGAGTGGAAGTTATGCTACTTTCAGGATACAGCTTCCAGAGTACAGCATTGTTTCAGAAGAGCAATCATGCTTTTGGTTTAATGTTAAATCACTTCTGATGAGTATGAGTATGGAGTCAAATCCTGTGTTGCAGGATCCTGAGTAAAGCTGTTCTCACTACCATCTTTTTAACATAGTAAGCAGTAAGTGGGAGATCTTGGAGGTGATAATAGCTGGAGTGCACACTGAATCAGTTCTTTCTCAACTCTATCTTGCCAGTGTGTCTGTCTCCACGTAGTATACACCTCAAGAAATCTGTAGGGTCATCACTAATGTTTCCCCTTTGGTTCCACAGAGGCCATTATTTCCTGTAAGGATCTACAGAGAAGTGTATTAGCAGCAAACATGAAAAAAGAAGTCACAAATCTGACACCAATGTTGTAATACCTTCCAATTGTAAATTCCATATTCTGTTCCATCATCCCCCTAAATATACTAGTAATGTGTATTTAGGAAGTGTTATTATTTAGAAGGCATTACAGTATCTCTCTGAGAACAGTTTTTGAGGTGAAACCCAAGTGATTGATTAGGAACATGTTCTGACTAAAAAGGAAGTAGAGGATGCATTTATTACATTTATTATATATGCAGTTATATGTGGATATTATGCATGCCTGTTAATGACCAGGGTGAGGTAAAATACAAAATTTAATGACAATGAAACGGGTACCCTGAAGGTGCAGTTTCTGTTCAGCTAGGGCTGACCTAAGGCAGAGCTGCTGCAGGGACCCACCTTCTGCAGGCTGACATTTGAACCCCACTCCCACACAGGTACCAGTACTTGTGCCATGGTGCTAGTTGAGTGCAACAATGCCAGTTCTGACCTAGCCAAAACAGTTTTAAGACCCATCTCTGCATTGCTTTGGGCTGCACGACCATCAGACCTAGGACCAAAGGAGGGCTGTAACAGCACTGGCTGACACCAGCTCAGGGCATGCACAGCTCCATACAGGGGTGTGGGAGCCTTCAACAGAGCAGCAGCTGCTAACTAAGCACTCCTGAACAGGAGCAGACACCTAATTTAAAAGCACTATTTCCACTTTCAAGATGATGTGGCAGTTCTCTAACTTAAAGAATTATAAAAGCAATCTTCTGACAAATTAGAAGTATTAAGGAATGAGAGAAGTAGATCCAATCCCTCTGGTTGTCCTTCTGGACTTCATAGGTGCTGTCATGTTCTGTCAGGAAAAGGGTCTGTGATGAACACTACCAACAATATGATGAATTTAAAGCCAAGGTTTTATGTTACCTTAAGAGGCACCCAGCTCCTCTACACTTTCTGCACACTGTGAAGGACACTTCAGAAGGACATGACTGTATGCAAATCATACCTGCTGGTTTACAAACTCATGCCAGAGGTAGAACATGT